ACTGCTGTGGGGTTGTGCACTTTGGCGGCTCACGCCAACGGCTGCTATGTGTCGACGCCTGTGCTGTAGTGACTACTGAGTGGTGTTTTGCCAAGGCAGTATGTCTTTAGTGACACACCCCTCGGCGCGTCGTGTAGAAGGGTGCGCTGACGTTGTAGGGTGCGTTGGGGCAGGCACGAATGGGCATGTGCTTGAATACAGAGTTTTAGAGTGCCAGCTGGTATCGAAGGTTCACTTGACATTCACTGCAATTGGTGGGAGGTATCAATGCTGCGAATGGAGGCCTGATATTCCAATCGACGTCAGTGAACTTGCGAAGCACTAGCGTTGCAACGCAATACATTGAAAGCGCCAACATCGAGGAGTGGTGCTTATGTCAGAGATTTAGTAGAGTTTGCGGTCAGCCGTATTATGCGTGATACAAGCTTTCCGGCGGATAACCCTGATAGCACAGGGGTTGCAGCCGTGAAGCCAACAACTTGGAGTCGCCACATTTCTCGGGGAGATGGCTGACCGCTGTATTTTCCCGACAGTGTCGGGATGCTGAATGTGATGCTGCAGTTGTACATCGAGCAAAGCACACTTCGAAAGGGTGGTAGTGGCGCCTGTCAATACCCATTAGAGGCACGTGTGATAATGCACTTGTGTCGCATGCCGTCCACCTCGAACTTTTGCGAGTCATTTTGTTCATCCAGCTGTACACTTCTGGTCCTAGAATCTGGCAGGCGCTTTGGTGTTGTGATGTGCCTTTACTCAACCCTTGCTGCCGGCAAGTCTATATAGTGAAAGCTGTGAGCTTCACGCTTCAGCGCAGTATGGCTATACAGGTTGTGTTCCCGTGACCTTGGGTGCAGTACGAGGAGGCTCGCGTTGCTCTCGTGATTGCTGTATTGGCCAGCAAGTATGCCATGAAAACCAAACACATATGCGCCTTAAGATTGAATCCACATATCCGGCATTGCGATTTAGGCGGGGATTCTTATCTGCTTGAGTGTGGATGAGTGCAGCTGTAGAACGGCTTGCAGTGGAAGCTGTTTCTGCTCCAATCACGCGTTTTTATACCAACTGACACGAAGTGATTCGATCGACAAGGGAAGAAAATCGAGGCGAATTCAGATGCAACAGTCGATAGGCGTCGCCTGTGGGATGTGTGCATCAAGGCGCTGTAGGATTGTGGAACTCCTGTGCGCTTGGCGTCCGCTCCAATCTGATGGAGCCTCCTTTCAGCCTACAACGTGCAACCGTTAAACCAGAAAAGGTGTCGTTCGAACGACACATAGACGCGCGCCTAGGTAGTTGCCACATTTACGTGTCAGTCTGTCTTGTTGCGAGCATGAATCTGCATGCGTGCTGATGTGTAGGATTGCAATGATATGGGCACTGGGAATTCGTTCTGCTCCAGTCGCTCTCCTTGATATCAACTGAGACGAGATGTGTCGTCGTCGCGCTTTTGATGCTACTGTTTAAAAATAAATTCTGATGTTGCAAATGGAGAGCTACGATTGGGTGTATGCAACTATTTGGCGTGGAGAGTGCATTGCCTTGCAAATGTGCGTATTGGGGCGTTATGTACTTTGTGCGAGCACACTAATGGCTGCAACGTTGCGACGCCTTCTCTTGTGTCAGGATTGAGTGCTGTTGTGCGCAGCATGTATGTCTTTAGTATCAAGACACTCTCCTCTGCACCTTTATGGGGGCGCTTGCGTTGCAGGTTGCTTGTTGGCAGGCATGAATCTGTGTGTGCGTGCGTGCAAATATTTGGAGTGACCGTTGGAGAAGGCGAGTGAGACCGTTTGGCGTTTGCGCTGATTGCGTCTGAACGTCACT